AAGGTTAATTTCTGTTCCAGCATAACTTAAGTCCTGTAAATAGAGCCATGGCCAATAAGACATGGTTTAATAAGTTTGGTGTGGAGAAACTCAACTGGCTTGCATGGAGCCCTAATCCCAACCAGGGGCATCCTGAGGCTGGGTGTCACCAAGTTATATTGGATATTTGTATAATTCTATACCCAAAAGATGCGTAATATAAACATATGGTCATGCTCAGGCATCAGGTTTTTGGCTTGCTGTCTCCGTGTGTTACAATAACTGATATTATAGAATTAAGATCAGTGTTCATGTTTGTTCAGAATGCAATGGAACTGTATTGTGAACATGGTGAGTAGTCAGGTGATATTAGAAAGATGTAGTATCTGTAAATTGAATCGAAGACTTGCATTATGATCATATTCAGTTGTCAGGCTTTGTTAGTTTAGCATTCCAGCTCTCTACCGAAGAAGAAAATACAGCTATACATTTCCATGTCAGTTCAAGGTTTAATAGAGCTACATCATCAACCTATAACGTTGTCATGGTCATTTAATATTGTGTCCATGAAGATGCAACAAAGAGCACTCAATGTAAATTTAATATGCATTAGACAGCCAACACCATCTCATCTCATTCTGCTCTTTATTTTACAGTGGATATCACATGCTATAGGGGTACAACAGTAATCAGCAGAAAGCTGAATCAAACACATCCTCAATCAGCCTATCACCTTTAAATCTCGCTGATGCTAATCCCTGGCAATTAGTCAATTAGTACATTATAAACTATAGACTTGTCTTCCCACTCCGCTGAAGCCCAATAAGCAATGCCTAGCAACAGGGATCAATAGAATGTATTAACTCTGGGGAAAAGCAGCCCAACAGGAGAGATAACTTGCACTGACACCAATGATAGATAGTCCTGCAGGGATAACCAATATTGTTTTTCTTCAGGTCACGGATGGCAAAGCAAATGTATTTTCCTTCTTTTCTGTTTTTATGAGTCAAATGAGTTTTAAAGCAATTTGTAGAGTATCGTGCCCTAATAAAGTCATAAATAGCATAACCTTTCATTGCTCTACTTTGCCTATTATCTTGGTTTGTCAGCTGCAGCCAGTCATAAAGGACAGTATGGCAAAAGTTACACTGACCTTTCCAATTTCCTCAGTGCCACCCTGCCAGCAGTAAATCAGCCCTGCATCCCAAGCATGCTGTTTAAACACAGCTATCTCTTACCGAGATATCCTCCTCTGTGCGCCATTGTTCACCAGTCATGTTGGTATCGCTTATTCTCACCGACTTACTGCACAGGTGACAGATGGATTTATTGTTACGGTTTTACTGCTCTGGTGAATAACCCTCTTGTTCCCAGGCTCATTTTTAAAATTGTTATATGCATGGTAAAACACAATATGTGCCTGACAATCACTATACAACTCTCAAATATCATATATTATCCGAAGGAAAATTACCTACCAATTAAAAAAAATATATACTTGATTTTGAACAGCCTGGAACTTTTGCAGTTATGAACTTTCTGTCTAGTACAAGATCACAAGGGAAAGCAAAGCTCCCAGCTGCTGTCCATCTACTAGCTTGGAGGAGCAGAAGATTGGCTTGCCTTGCTCTGCCTGTGTGCTTACTAGAACACACACAAGGGTGGCCCCATAGGTCCATGCAAGAGAATGAAACCACCATGAAAAGTGGATATCAGGGCCAGTGCTCAGGGGAGCAGCCGATTGTGCAGGAAGCTAAACCTTTTATAAATGGACAAGGACTGACATTAATTTTAAGTGATTTCATCAGTATTTGTAATAGCTTAAAAACATTTTTTACTTTAATATCACCTTAAATCAAATTGCCTGCAGTTAGACTGTCAATATGTATGAAGCACACCCTTGGCGGTCAAAATGTTAATCTATTACAGTGTTACAGTGCTGTAATACATTTATATATTATTATATATTTTTCATTACTTCATGTGCTATACATAAACTTAAGCTAGACCTGCATTATAGACATCAAAAGCCAAATAGTTTGCCTAATGACTGCTGCTGCTGGGTACAAATCATATTAAGAGACCAGTCAAAAAACAGTTTCCCAGGAATAATTGTTCACCATTAAATCCCAAAGTTCCATTTAGAAAAGATGCGTGTTTGCTAAGCGCTGATGTTAGCAGCTATGGTCAGTGTATGTTGCTATTGCACTCTGCTGACTTACTGTACATGGTAGGGAGACCCTTCCATGGCCTGTATGGCAGCACTCTAAGTCTTAGAGATCTATTAAAACCACTTAAACATGTTGGGCTCTATTCAAAATGTAGTTAAAGCTTTTGCTCTTTTCTAAAGCAAAATTCGGTTTTACCAATTTTTTTTTTTTTAAATGGAAAGAAAACCAATGTGGACATTTTATTAATTATTTTGTTCATTATTTAATTATTATTTCTTTATTATATGATCTAGTGTGGGTTAAACTTTGGAAAACAAAATTAGCCCAGAACCTTGCAGCTTGTAGAGATTACTTAATGTCCTGGAGCATGGGATTCTGAGATTCCTATTCTCCTGTGTCCACACCCTTATTAGTTATTTCTCTGATTCATGAGAATATTGTGGCAGGTCTTGTTACAATGTTTCTTCTGAATGAAGACAATAAAACAAAGGATGTCCTAGAATCCAAAGAACCAGTTTATGGATTAATCTTCAAGAGATTCATTTATTCTGTGACTCAACAACTTACAGGGTTTTTTTTTTACGTGCTGCTTCCTCAGCAACAATATCTATCTTGGTGCTGCACTGCTTAGCCTATATCTGCAAAAAGTAATTTTGAATCCTGTGAATAGGGATCTAAACCTATATTGTTGCACATACAAAGTTGATGAGAGCTACTTCTCAGCATCTTAGTTTAGACTGCTCTCTAGTTTATTTTGACATTTAGTGGTGAGAAATGATGCAAGTTTGAAAGTCTGCTGAAATGTTCCACCTGTCTGCACGGCTGATAAGGTGAGAGAGAATTGAGTAGATAATTAGATCCAATCAAGGGAAATGCTTAGTAAGAATTAAAACTCATTAACCTCATGTTCTATTTCCATAAAACGTCAATGATCACAAGCCACTCGATGGGGAAATGAAAGGCCCGAGTACAAGTTGACTGGTAACCAAACTAAGCTTTCACATAAAAAAAATACTTTCCGGTCAATAACACCAGTTCTGCAAAATACAAACTTTGCTGTATGAACTATTAAATATAATTTAATTTACTGTTCTTGGCCTCCCCATCGCACTGTCTCTTAGATTTTAAAACATGGAACAACCTCAGGTAAAATCAAGCCGTATTTATTCCAGCAGTCAGTAAGAGCAGGTAGCCCCTGTAGCACCTCTGAAACTCTGAAGGCACATGCTTTGGATGAAGAGAGAAATCACACCACTAGTTGGTCTCAAACTGATATTTCATTTATAGATGGGGTCTGTTTAGTTGAGTCAACTGCTCAGTTCTACCTAAAGCTCTTAGACCAGGCTATATTAACCAGAGTTCCGCCAGAGTTTGCCAGGAGTTGATTGAGGAGTGGCAGATTCATATACCTGCGATCACCACAAATGTAAGGAGCCAATTTTCCACAACTTACAATGTAAGGGGTTAAGTCTACACTGACCACCAATGTATAGGGGCTTTCTTATACTGTGCACCAGTGTAAAAGGACACTTCACCACTAACCACCAATGTAAGGGAGCATTTCTCCACTGACCACTAGCGTAAGGGAACACTACAATGTTCAAAATCTGTTTTGTTTCTGGCTGTTATTTATATTTATTTTATATTATTGTTGTATACAGCAAGAGGATGCTGTAAAATGATCCTGTCTGGGTGTCATAAACTCTGGGCAAGCTAGGTTCTTCAGTCTTTTCTTTCTACAACTTCCAACTCTCAAAATTATTTTAAGGCGTCCTCCATGGTAAGATGGTTGAGAAAGTCTATATTTAACACTTCAGATGCTGGTTGTCCCCACCCCAGAATCTGCATTTGTTCCTGCGAAGCATGGAGTCCCACTCCTTCTGCCACACATGTTTGTTTCCCCTCTTTGTATAAAATAGACTAAAACTTAAATATGGAAAGTGCAACCCTACTACATAAAGGTATGCAGGCCTGGAAATCAAAGTGCAAAGATCTCATCTCTAGACTACCTAAGAGATATAAGGTAACATTATTTGGTTTCATTCCCAGCAACTACCAAAATCTGACCCTTGAGGCCCTATTCACACCAAAATCTCAATCTAATGGCAACGCAATGGAGGGTCCTTTGACTTGCGATTTGCTTCCATTGTGTTATGTTTGCAAGTGTTTGTTTTTGAACATGCTCTACTTTTTTTTCAGCACAATGCAACGCAACTGTGTGAACTGCACCCTTCACACCAATTCATTTTTCATTGTCCTTGCGTTAGCATCTGTTGAAAAACAGATGGTAACGCAACGGATCCAGTGTGAATGACTTAAACCTTTAATTATGAACATCACTGACTGAAGGAGAGAAACATATTGTAACTACGCATGCTTCCCAACTGTCCCACATTGGGAACCAAATATGTCTGTTCCTCTTTTTGGACTGATGTACAGATAATTATGAAAAGGTTCTAATTAACAACCAAAAGTGTTATTCTGCACTAAAACCTTCATCCCATCTCTTACTTATCATTTTGGCATATAATTTCTTAATGGTCCCCATAACTGGGGACAAGGCAGGGGAGTATTCTGATCTCAGAAAGTTGGGAGGTATAACTAAAGAGTTCCCATATACATTTTAAAGTACATTTATGAGGTTTTTCCCCCCATTTTTGCTTTTTAAAATGCGCGTTAACATGCACTTCTCTCTGCATAGAGATGTATAGGTGTCCAATGAGAAGCAGAAACAGCCATGACCTAAATTCCTGTTCCTGTTTCCTGTTTTTGAGGAAAGTGTTTCTTACAAGGTGGTATTGCATTGTTCAGTATGGATCCCTTTACTCGGCGTGCCGTGGCACACATTACCTTTGGCATCTTTAATTAATGGGGAAAAACCATCCCAGTCGCTCCATATTTGTGCACCAATGGTCCACCAGGCACTCCTGTGACTGCCCTTGCTCTTGCAGCTTGCATGCCTCTGATCATAGAGGCAGACCTGGGCCTGGACCAGTCCAATGAAGTCCTCAGTAGACATGTGGTTCAGTGTTGAGTCCTCCATTTTGATCTCAGTGTATTGTGTGACGGGAGAGGTACTCTCTCCGTCCCGTGTAAACAGTGTGGTTATCGCTAATAAACTCACGCATGCACATGTATGTGTGCAATTACAATACAAGTCTATGGGACCAAAACCGCACAGGATTCGCCTCAAAATATCTTTTCATTCAATGGGCATTTTTGTACACGGGACGCAAAGCTAAGGTGTGAACAGTTGCCATTGACTTGAATGGAAATGTGTGTTTTGCGTGTTTTTGCACACAGATCTGCGCATAAAAACGCTCCAGTGTGAACCAGTTCTTAGGCAGCAGGGTGCAGCGGCAGCACGGTGATGCAAAACAGAACATTTAATTAATGTAGAATCAGGAAAGAACCTCAGAGGTTGACTGAGTAACTTCCTCTCACTGCCTTTTTTTTAAATACCAACCACATTTAAACCTCAAAACAGATTTGAATCTCATTGGAAGATGTGAAAAAAATGTCTTAGTATGTATTTGTTTACATTAGGCTTTTTGTGTGTAAGAGACAGCAAGGAGCATTCAATGAGTGTGTTTGGGAATAGCTTTCCTGCATCACAAGCAGGGGTTCCTAGGTCACTGGTGTAAACTGGTGTACTATGGGAATTCCTGGAAATCTATGCACATATACTTTTTTTATGCAGTTCAAGGTTTAAAGATCAATTTTGACAAAAGTAAAATTGATCATCAAAAAATTGATAATTTTTCAAAATTGATCATCTTGATGGTCCAACTTGAGAGATGTTTTTCTTATTTGTTGTCACATTTGACTATAAAACAGCAGCCCTCCTTGCAATACTCCTGTCCCCCACAGACAGATCCAGTGCTGGCACTCTTTGAAGCAGAATGATGCCCAGCATTATTTAACCCACTTCCTTTGTGCCCAGGGTGTCAAGGACACAGCCCTTGGGGATACATCATCAAGCTCATTTGGGCTTACAGTAGAATGCTGCAGGGAATTGCAGCATGTTATTCCCTGCAGAATTCAGGACCCACCCACTGCCAGAGGAAGGAAAGGGCATTATCTTACTGGACTGAAGAAGACAGAAAAAAAAATATGTACAAAAAAGAGGGGGTGGGGGCTAGAAGTTGTGCTTTAGCAGAAAAACAAAACTACAAATGACCTTTTCTATGATGACTGTGACCAATGCAGTCCAGGTGTCTAAAAAATAATTTAAACAGGTAAAGTTTTTCAATTTGGGTTTTTTATTGTATGGCTGGGTGTATCAATAGGAAAGTCATATGCTACTATTTTAGGCTTGTACCACATCTGTGAAGAAAGAGCAGCACACATATTAAAGGCGGTGGGTGTAGCTGCTTTTTCTATAGACTGAGTACACAAATTGCACAGATATTTGACATCCAAGCATCCCTATACTTAACAGAGATGTCAAGAGGATGATTCACTAGAGGAGGCTGACCAAAGACAAAGGACACAGTGTAACTGTCACAATAATGTGACTACGTTAGATCTGCACCACAGTTAAATCTACATACACTCCTCTAGGAAGGGCATACTACTAAATCCTACAGTTAGAATAAGAATTGTGTGAATATTATCTACAGTACTGTAAACCCTTAAAGGACCCACTTGGTACTGTATTTCAGGATCATTAATTGCATTCTTCTTTACAGGTGTGTGCTTGGTTGAAAATATTTTATGTGACAGGGTCTCTTTAACGAGGTGGAATGGATGAAATAGGTTTGGTTGATAATAAAACAAGCAACCAAACATCACACACATCAACCTTGCCTGACCAGAAACCAATGAAAGAAATTGATTTCCTATAGTTTAGCAGTAGGATAATATTTACAAACATCAAAGAAAATGTAGTCATTGTTCATAAAAATAATTACTTGTTAAAAAAAAAAAACCCACAGTATTTGTGCAGTTTTTTCTTACACCTTGGCACTGTGGTAATGCTCGTGTGTAGGGTACTGGATAAGACTGATGTGAATCGGCCTTGAAATAAAAAAAATACAGTACATTTCAGTGAGCACATATTTCGAAGTAGTAATAGTGTGCAGTAGTTTGTATCCTACAGCCCAATCAAAACATTTCATTTGTTTTGGATAGGCAGAGAAGGGATAGAGCCGCTGTCAGATTGTCATCTGTGCTCCCACAGAGATAATTTCTTCATCACTGATAGGATAGGAAGTAATGGGGAACCTCTTCAATCGGGACACTAACAGAAGCAAAAATACATTTTTAGCAGAGTGGGGAAAGGTTAGAACCTCTGATAATGTATTTATGGCGGTCCCTGCGGACCCTTCAATTCTTGAGCGGTGTCACAGGGAGAGAAAAATAGCTAGAAATAAAAATCTGAAACATATTTTATTTTTTGCTTCCTACTCAGTCTAGCACTGAAAACAAAAACAAAACAAAAAAAACAGTAGGTGTTGATAAAGACTCCCACAAATTGCACTTGTATTTGTTTTTGTATTAAAGAGAGTTCCTATTTTCTCAGTAAAATTTCTGTCCTACACTAATGGTTTAGAGTTAGAAATACACAAAATCAAAGAGTCAGCCAACTCATAGACTTGAGTTGTTAGAGGAAGCAGTAAAGCACAACCATTGTGTAACACTTAAAAGTGAAAAAAAACCTACGTATGTAATAAGCAATATAACTGCCCCGTGTGCAAAATTACAAATTATACAAAGAAACAAGCTTCTTTAACATTAGCACATATTGATCATTTGACATTAACATTATGTCAACATTAAAAAGACTTTTCCTTTTAAAATGACTTTTTTTTCCCTTTAATTAATAGGCACTGGATTACTTACAAAGGAACAGAAGTGGGCCTGAACACATTCATCCACAGCACATGTATAATGAAATGTTATATAAACAAGCAAGCGTGAACTGATATATAGATACACTGTTCAAGGACAGAGGGATTTTGTGTGCTGCTACTATTTCTTCAGATATATAGATGTTTTCACTGTTTAAACATATTGTGTCTGTAGACATACAGTAATACAATGCTTGACATATAGTAAATAAAGGCTAGGTATAATCAACAGCTAAACCATCAGCACACCTAAAAGTAGAGAAACTCTAATAAAATAACTGACATAATAATAATGAGGCAATGTGTGTTAATGAAAATAAAGCACGGTGTTCAATTATAAGTACAGCATAAGCTATTTAAAAAAAAATAGAACACAACGCATTTAGCCTCAAGGCCAACGTAGCATAAAAATAAAGCTACATAAGGGGTTATTTAACTCTTTGTTGTGTTCATAAATATAAAAGGTAAATGGTTGAAGGACCCAGTCATTTATGTGAGATTTAGGGACACTACTCTCTATGCTTCACAAACTTTGATTGCATTGTTTTAGCACATTATAATTGTTGCTTTATTGTAAGGCAAAATGTTTTGGCCTAGTTAATGGGGATATACAAAAAGCTGCTGAAGACCATAGTCCATTATTGCCAGAGTCCAGTTAGGGGACCTTCACTCACTTGTTCAAATAGACAGGAAGTGAGAGAAAATCTGAATGAATTTGCCTTTTACTTGCACTAAACTGTAGTGAAGCATAGATATTATTCTCCAACACTGTATATTACATAAATTTTTATGATAATTGAGATTTGAATCAGCAGCATCACTGACGTTTTTCTCTCTAGATAAGCATTGTGGACCCATAGTCCATAAGCAGCTTCTAGTGCTGACCAAAAAATGGCACTAAACCCCACACAAGAAAATGTGTTATTCATTTTACATTTTCTGTGTATCTGCTGCAGATTGGTGGCTGACAGGCATTTCATTAAGATCTGGTTTGTTGAGCTAAGGGACAGGTCATCAGTTAAGGACCATGCCTGTGTAACTATGACATGAAGGGATTTGCCAGAAACCCTTGCTGAAATCTATATGTCAGGTCCTAGTGACACTCAAGTCACTTTGTCCCTTTGTGCCACTAATATCTACATTTTAGGCTTGGCTGGGCAGGGAAACCTGTCTAAACTATCTTCGGATAGTTTCGGATAGCTAAAATGATATTTTCTGTACAAAATAATACTCAAATATAGCAACCTATGCTAAAGTTTTCTTTTTGGGATTCTTTAAAGCTGGTAATAATGCATTATTTTGTATGATAAACTAGCCTAGAGATTAGATACAAAATAATTCAATACATGTAATGTCACAGTGTGTTGCATGCAAAACTGGATGCAATGTACACCTGAAGTTGGACACTGTTATATGGGAAGTAGCAATGGCCCAAACTTTACTTTGAGAATTCAGATCACCACAATGCCCTGTCTGCTAACCACTGACATAAGTACTAAGCTGACTCATTGCACACAATTAGCCCAGTCAGAGGACAAAACCGCCTACCAAGTCCATATTTTTCAGCCACATTGTAAACAAGGCCTAAACAAGTGCAAAAAGCATTGATAGACTACATGGAAAGCAATAGAAAATAACATTTCAATGAACTGATTGCAGTGATCTGATTGGTAACTATGGGTTACTGTACTTCCCACATCCCCGCTGTTTTCTGCATTATCGAGTCAACAACCTTGAAAAAGAGAAGGCAATCCTACCCAGTGGAGACAAAGACATCAATAAACCCTTCCCCACTTTATTCAAAACAAGCATAAAGATTGTGGCTGCAGTTCCACTGGAGCCTTAGAAAGGTCTACAAATATCAAGATGAGTGTGCATTTCAGCATCAAGAAGGATATTAAGAGATATTAGATGAGTGAGATTAGAGGAATGACAATTGTCACATGTATGTTCTAGGGCAAATATTGTAAATCCTACCAAATGGATTGGATTATCAAGGTCTGCAGTTTAAATTGTGAGGGCAAGTTGCTTGTGCATTAGGCACAAACCCAAGCTAAAATACTGTAACAGTCTTCAGTAGCCTTTCCCAACTAGGGTTTCTCCAAAGGTTGATAGGGGTTCCTTGGGCAATTAGCAATTTGTGCCTCTTAGATAAACAACCATTGACACCAATGGTCTTTTCAGCGATTTG